GATCAGATTCTAATCCTTGCCTTGCCAATCATTTCTCGGATTTCTTTATCTTCGTGAATCAAAGAAACAACGTACGGTCGTCTACTTCAAGATTTTCCACATTTATGTTCTGTGTAAATATTTTAGGATTAAATTAATACGATCGAGTTTCAGATTTTATTTTAAGACGATGTTTGTTAAATCATATGCGATATGTGACGGAACAGTATAATATGTTAGGATAACGTTTTGTGATATATGAGCGCGTTTCTTTCTGGATTACATATCACTCCGCGAGATGAAATGCTGTAGTTTTTATTTTCTGAAATTTATACATAGAACACGATACTATTGCGATCACGATGGCACATAGCGAAATTTATTGAAGTTATTTGGGAGAAGTACTTTTTTGTGATACCGATACCATTTGCATAATTTGCTGTTCGTGCTCTGAATTTCTCGGCGTTTTTTAGCAATGCGCAATTTTACTTTTTTCAGTCATAAACATTACAGGATTTTATCAAATCTCATGAGTATTAAAATAAAATCCCTTTTTTTATTGTTCGAAAAATCATACTGGCGTAGCATAAAATAACAAAAAAATAATTTTTCATCAACAGTTTTGAAATCGACATTGTTTTTTTTTGGGAGGGGGAGGGGAAATAATTAAACAGCCCTCGTTTATCTCATCACTCATCTCTCATTTGTTGCTTCGAAAAAAATTTTTAATGTTGTCTTTACTTCAATAAAATTTATTTCATTTGTTCCCTTCGATGTCTATGTAACTACGAGATGATGGTGTTAATTTCGCGAAATTTATGATGTTTGCTTAGACAAAAATATAATTTTATTAATGGATCTTATTACAGACTATTCGGCGAACGATCGGAAGAAAAAAATGTCTGGGTTATGCTAACGTTTATTGTACTTCGTCGCTTATAAATGAAAAGCGTATTAAAATAGCCATCGAGTTGCGTACCAATGATCATAAATGTGCATCGCGGCAGTTGAATCAAGGGCGCAATCTCGGGCGCATTGTCGGCTCGCGTTGGCGATATACGAATACGAGCACGTGAATAATAGTCAGATATAAAATCATTGTTTTCGCCCGATAAAACGGTGCCTGGTCCAAATTGTTGTTGGCCCAGCGCTTAAGCGTCACAACGTAATCGCCAATAAATTCATTTTAGCACGACCGGCAAGAAAGTCGCGATGTTTTATTTAGACTACTCCGTTGTCTTTGCGCAATGATGTTATTAATCGAGCACACGATATCGTTTGTTTGTCGCGGCATTTAAGAAAGATAGCAAGAAACATAGAAATTTACAAATTTCATTACTTTGCGTAGAATGTAATGTTTTTTTCTGATATTCAAATTTATCAGATAAAAGAGACGCGATCAATAGCTTTACGAGAAACAGACTTTTCGCTTCTCATATTTCGATGGGGATGAAGAAGCACGCTAATGCATACGGTCGCGATTTCGCCATAGCATAAACAAGGAAGGGTGAATGCGTCATTAAGATGATGAACCATAATGACGGCTACATACCGGTAGCGTCTGCTAAGCGAGAGAGAGAGAGAGAGAGAGAGAGAGAGAGAGAGAGAGAAGATAATTCGGAAGAACGGGAGCAGAGGCGCACATTGATGAATTCTCTATTGTCGCATTTGGCCGTAGCAGATAATAATACGGCGCCATTTCCCGAAGGGACGCGGAATCGCATCGAGAAATCGCCCAACTGTCCCACAACGACCACCTCTATTAATAGCTCGTATTAATAGTGACGGTCGCTCTATAGATAGTACGCAAAAGTAGATACCTCGTGCGGTCCCTCCGCAAGCTGCTTACGCGGATGCGAATCATTAGCGTGCCTCGTGGGCACAAATATCGTCGAGATGTAATGAGATCGCGACGATAGCGATGATTCCGTTTGCGGCATCCGTCAACTGCGGACGACGCATCTGTAGATCTGCGGTTCCGCTTTGCGAGAAATCACAAGCGGGACCGCTCCGGCGAAAGGAACTGTGAGCGTCTTTGAGACGTCAAAGCTAAATGCGAGCTCTTTCCCCGAGTCACAGGACAGTCTGCAGGACGATAATTCTCCATAAAGCGCGATGTCAACAATCGCGCATCCGCCATCCGTCGCGCGACCACGACGACGACGACGACCACGACGACGACGACGACGACGATCATCACGTCGTCGATGGATTCCAAGCGCGTTTTGACAATCGTTGATTTATACCAGCTGGACGCGGCCGGGAACCTGTTGCCTGTGCAACAACGACATCGGCACGCGGCCACATCCGCCTTTTCCGTTTCCACAACGGATTCACGATGACATCACGTTCGACATCAGCTCGCGCGTACATCAGCCCGGATCCTTGAAACGGTGCATGATAGATGCGGATCCAGGGGATGACGGAGCCTCGCCAAAGGAGGGATATTTCTACTTTGGAACTCAGCCAATGGCCGCGTGCTTTGAAACTTTATGTATTGATCTTGCTTAATCTCGCCCACATATTCTACCGTCGCCCTAATTCATCTGCGGCGATTATTTCACGCGATATCCCGTGTCGGCCGTTCGGAATCGTCCGTTAAAACCGTCGGTCTGTTTTCCAATTGAGCTTTGGGTTTAGTGTAAAATTAAGGATTAAAATCATGATGCGACGAATTAAGTATACTCTTTAAAATGAAACGAAGGGACTAGACGATGGTAATGACGAAATGCAGATTTACATAACTCTGGAGAATAATCGTAGAACAATTTGCAAAAATATATGTTGAAGCTTGAAGATTCTGCCTTCGAACTCTGCTCAAGCTTTTTCCTTTGCAGTGCTTCTACTCCAAGCAGCGTCATTTTTAAATAAATCGTACAGAATTGAAAAACTTCAACTTTGAGATCCTGTACAAAGTTGAAAAGTCGTTTCCATCTTTACTTTAAAACACTTTAAAAGCTTTGGAGTCTTCTTTAATTTTTTTTTTTTTTTAATTAAGTCTTGATTTTTTTCGTTTAATTATTGAAGGAACCATTTTTAAATATTTCTATCATCAGAAATATTCTATTAAATTTTTTTACCAATACATGATGAAAATATGTTTTTATTATGAATATAATAACATAAAGATGTGAAAAATAAATTGTCAGTCAAAAATAAATAAAATATCAGTAATATATGTACTAGTGACAATAACTGGGTGCAATCGTATAAAATCAGCGCACATACACTTCACTTCTGACAGGTTATTGGATACGTGATTTGGGTTTAGCTGTCGTTAATCCGAACAATGTTATATGACGAAACATTGTAATCGATTTACGCCTCAGGGATTAATCTAGCCTTGAGATTCTCACAATATTTCGATGAATATTCATCGAGCCGTCTCAGATAGTCTATTTGCTCATTCGGTAAATGCGACAGTTATCAAAGTTTGCCACGGCATAGTGCAATCTATACGGTTCCAGAAAGTTATCAATGTTTTAAATAGAATTATTATATTTTAGAATGCACTTGAAGACAATAAATTAAATTTTGAAAAAATATTTTTTGTATAATACAATTCTTAAAGATTTTAACAAACAAAAAGAAATTCCACCGTTCTTGATTTTTATTAGATTTCAAAAGTTTTTTTTATCAATATTTGTTAAATAAAATTAAAATGGAAATATCAGTGAAATTGCAAAATTCTATGACTTTAGTTATTTTTTTTTTTATCCAGAGGAAAATGTTCAATTCCTCTCTTCGGGAAAGTTCGGTTTTCTAACTTTACTCAATACAAGGCACGATGAAAAAACGACAAATCTTTTACGTCGACGTAAATAAAATGCATGAAACTTATTATTTCTCGGCACGAAGGTAGAAGTGAACTTTTAAAGAAATTCTCAAAGAACGCCGCCCGTTAGCAACTCTTTCCAGCTTCGGTGCTGTTTCCATTACTGTTACGCTTTGTCACAGTTGAATTGAGTCCTGCATAAAATACCAGTTACGGAACATTGATAAAGCGTTAATGGAGCGCAGTGAGGCATACCTATAATAGAAACGGGCGTCTCCGAGTTGCGTTTATTATCAAAGAGAATTTCTGCGACAAGCGAGTTTGGCACAGCAACAGGTTGAAACTTTGTTCGCGACTTTGTCGGGTGACTCGGCAAAAAGAAACAATCGAGGTGAATCGATCCGCTTAGCAGCCGAAGATTGCTCATTGCCGTCAGTTAACGAGATCGGAAAATGTCTATCCGAATAGTACCTTTTTTTTGCCGTAAAACGTGATACTAAATATTTAAATACGATCGAGAGATTCACTTTGCTCTATGAATTTTCATTCAATTTTAATTGGCTATTTTTTAAAGAGAAGATACGATTAAAGAGTCTTTTCCTTAGATGAATCGATTGAATTGATATTAATTATCCTAGAAATCTGGAGGGCTTCAAATTCATGTAGCTTCAAATGAGAAGTTCCTTTGAGAGATATGAATTAGAGGCCACATAATTACTCGTAACAAACCCCCTTGTTCAAGTGACAGAATAGAGAGACGGATTGTCATGATTAAATTAATTTCCATCTAATAATATTCGTGCTTGCGCATCTTGGCAAAATTACCAGCCTGATTTTAACTCGATTGCCGACCTGAATTCTTCTGGTAATAATTAGACGTGGCTCTGCCTCTAATTGGCGACTTCTAATTGGAGCCCCGTCTTCCCAAGAATGCGTTCGACGTTTGTTCAGCTACGAAATTTTCAATCAGAATTAATCTACCGAATTAATATACCGAGTGCGATAGTAAGTGACAATATCGCAAAATTTTTCCCGAATAAAATGTTGTATAAAATGAAAGCGAGCGTTCAGATATATTTGGAAGTTTGTTGGAAGATTGAGATTCGACGATTTTATCTAAATTTTATTGTATTTTGCTCTTGTTTATATCATTTTTCCTTATCATTATTAAAATTACGAAAAGATGTGAAAATTAAGACACACGCGTCTTTTTTTTGTTTTGTTTTTATTTGTCGCAACGCTCGACGATTTTTTGAATTTCTGCTGAGCTTCTCGGCAGTCTTCTTTAGTCTAAAACGTAATACGAAGGTCAAGCGACGCTCAAGGCTGCGTAGGTCGGAGACTAATTGCCAACTAATTTGTTCTTATCCCGAATGGGAAGAAAACATTTCTCCTAGATCACTGGCGATATCGTCCGCGTTTTCTCCAATAATTGCTCCGGGAAGATAGAGCAGACCACAATCGGCTGAATTATTCACTCCGCCGATCGATGGCATCGAAAATAGAACTTTTTCGACTATTCTGAGCTGCATACATTTTAGTTCGTAATTTATAAAAGTTACAAATTTTATACAACGCGATAAGAATAAATCTTCCTCATTTTATCGGAAACTGATGCGAAACTGAGGGCATAGTTCGTTTTGTTAACTTCGTTCGAGAAAAGTGTTTAAATTCACGCACAACTCGGTTTTGCTTGATTCCACGTGATATTATAGGTATTTATATGATGTCACCTCAAGCTATGATAATCGATTACAGGGCTGAATATTGGAAGTCCCAAGGCCGCAAGTTCTGCGACTTCTGCAAGTGCTGGATCGCCGATAATAAACCGAGTATCGACTTCCACGAGGGCGGCAAGAAGCACAAGGAAAATGTCAGCAAGCGGCTCAAGGAAATTCACAAGAATAGCGCCAAGCAGGCGAAACAGAATAAAAAATTGGAGGATGATATCAAGAAGATGGAAAATGTATGTATTTGTTGCGGAGGTTGTGTGATTGAAGTATGAGATGTTAATAATGAAGTAATTATCTCTTTCGTGCAGGCAGCAATGGCTGCGTACTTGAAGGATGTCGAGAATAACACACGAGACATGACGGCTCAAAGAATCATTAAAGAAAAGTTGAACAGAATAGAAACGACAGAAGTGAGTACACGTAAAATTATTCGATTAAATATAATTCTTGATTTTAAATGTTACGTTAAAGAAAACTTAATATTAAATACAATTTTTACAAATTGCGTGAGCTGAAACGACTACATTCCTTTATTAAGGAAAAACGAAGTATCGAATAATCTAAATTCTTACGTTTGTGTTTTAATGAATTAGTACGTTTTTATTTTTTACATATAATGCGTGTATTTTCAGACACCTCAAAATTGTAATCGAATGCCCTTAGCCGCTCCAGAGACAGTACCAAGGTTTAAAAGCAGTAATAGAGAAGTGTGTAAATTCAGTTTTTTTTATCTTTCTTATTATTTAATAACTGAAGTAATTAAATGGAATAATCATTTTTATTTATAAAATTTAAAATAAAATTTTATTTCCGAAAAAACTAAATATCTTTGATTACACGTTCGTTTTTTTTTTCTTTTTCCTACGAAACCACTAGAACATGGCTCATCAATGAGAATCGAAACTTTTTCAGTTCTCGCCGAAAGTGGATCCTTGTGACCCGGCAACTTTGTCAAAGAGTGCGCCATCATTTCCACGAGTCCAGCAGCAGGGCGGCGAGAACAGGACTCCGGGGAAGAGTAAAACGAACAAGGCGAAGGGAAAGGGGAAAAAGACTCAGGAGGATGATCGTTCGACCGCACCCGTCAGAAAACTATGGTACGAGGCTCGTAGTCCCGAAGGATATACTTACTACTGGCACATTGAAACGAACGGTGCGTATACTATTGTCAAACTTTTTTATCTTTTTGCTCGTCTACCTTTTAGATATTTTCTTTTGTCAGAAAAATCAAATGTTGGCATCTTGCCTTTCTCGTGATTCTTTTTAGCAATTTTTTATATTTTTTTAATATTTGCTTTCTAAATTTATATAATTTTTCTTTTAATTTATTACCTATAATTTGAAAAAGTTATTTATAAATTATTTTTTTATTATATTTTCTTTTTAAATATATGT